CCATCCATCCACCCACCCACCCAACCATCCATCCACCCACCCATCCATCCACCCACCCACCCAACCATCCATCCATCCATCCATTCATCCATCCATCCATCCATCCATCCCACCATCCATCCCACCATCCATCCATCCATCCATCCGTCCGTCCGTCCGTCCATCCATCCATCCATCCATCCATCCAACCATCCATCTATAAATCCTAGCTGTGTGGGCTTTGACACATCACTTTCTTCTCTAACACTCAGTTTCTGCATCTGTAAAATGGGAGTTTCATCACCTGCTGATGGGCGGTTTCAAGGATTTAAGGCAACCAATGGAAAGTACCATTCTCAGTACCAAAGGCAGAGGGAGGCTCAGTAAATTTCCCTCCCAACCTCTTTTCTGTCTAAATCCTGCCCCACCCCTGCACAGGTGTGTCTGGAGAGCCACAGCAGGATCCATACCCCAGCAGGCCCAGGTCCTCCAGAGCAGCAGAATCTGGTTGGTACAGCCTTTATTGTTTCTCCAGCATTTTCCAGAAGAATGATATCATTTGAGGGCTGCAGGGGGTGGGGGGAGTAAAAAATAACATAAACACACTGAACAGAAACGCAGGAGGGCAGCTCGAGGGGCTGAGATTGGGTGTTCAGGGCAGAGAGGTGGATGACCTGGGGCAGTCAGAGCGTCTTAGCTTTCGGCCACCAGAGAGGAGAATTCTGCAAAAGAAGAGGACAGAGATGGGGGTCAGAGGTGGACGGTGTGGGAGGACTCACCACGGCCTGACTGTTGGGCCCTGCAGCTGCTTCCTCTGGTCTGGAGTGATGGAATGAGTGAGTGTGGGAAGGAAGGAAGGAAGGAAGGAACGAACGAAGGAAGGAAGGAAGGAAGGAAGGAAGGAAGGAAGGAAGGAAGGAGTGGAGCAAATGAGAAATGGCGAGCCTACCATCTCCCTTTTGTTCGTTTTACTTTAAAAAAGTTTTAATTTCAGGGTTGTTAACATACAGTGTGGGTCCATTCATTTCAGGGGTACGATAAAGTGATTCAACACTTTCATATATTACTCAGCGCTCGACCAGAGCGGTATATGCTCTTAATGAGCTGCCGCCACCCACACATTCCTAATAATAACTGCAGTGATGATGGCAGCAATCCTTAGCCAGCACTCCAGCTGCTATTCTAAGCACTCCAGATTCGTATCTTGTTGGACTCTGACAGTGATCCGATAATGTGCCTCTCATCATCAGTCCCATTCTACAGATGAGGAAACCGAGGCTCAGAGACCAGCAGGTTTTACAAGGTCATGCAGCTCCTCATGAGCAGAGCCAAGATTCAGACCTAGGTCTGTCTGAGCCTCTTGGGACCCTGGGCTCTTCTTGGCCCCTTGTCCCGTTGTTTCCCAGCCGCCCACCAGAATCACCAGCAGAATTTGAGAAGACATGGGTTCCCTTGCCCTAGGGTTTCTGATTTGGGAGGCCTGGGATAAGGGGTGAGTTATTTTAGTTGTTAAAAGGTGATTCTAGGGGCACCTGGCGGGCTCAGTGGATTAAGCGTCTGACTCTTGACTTCAGCTCAGGTCATGATCTCGTGGTTGGGAGACCCAGCCCTGCCTCGGGCTCTGTGCTGAGCATGGAGCCTGCTTGGGATTCTCTCCCTCCCTCTCCCCTGCCCCTCCCCAGCTTGTGCTCTCTCTCTCTCTCTCTTAAAAAAAAGAAAAAAAAAGAAGTAAAAGGTGATTCCAGGGAGCAACCTGGTCCAAGAACTACAGTGTGCTCCTCCTCCTTGGGGCTGAGCAGACCATGGAGGACACCAGAGCAGGTGACAGCTCCATGCAGCTTAGACGGATGAGTGGGTACAGGTGCTCAGAATGAGCTGGGCCCTGTCTCACACAACTCCTCACTTAATCTTGACCATCTCACTCAGGAAACTGAGAGTTATTCCCATTTTATAGAAGGGGAAGCTGAGGCCCAGAGAGACGAGGCTTTTCAGAGCCTCCAGGGTGGTAAGGGGCTGAGCTGGGACTCAAGCCCTGGGGTCTAGGTGCCTCCACATGGCTTGCCTTCGAGTCCATGGGGCTCTCACCTGCCCTCCCCCAACAGGAGCATCCACCTTCACCAAATGCTAGTTAACGATGTCAGAGATCGATGTCAGCATGAGGAGGAGACCCAGTGTTCCTCCACTGGATCCAGCTCCACCTAAATGAAGGGATGGCTCCGACCAGGTGAGGGGAGACACGGGGGATGACCCTTGCACTGAAGGGGCTTCGGGTCTGCTCAGGGAAGACACAGTAGCTATCAGGACATGCCCCATGCTTCTGGGCTCTTTTCTGAATCTCAAGCACACTGGGGGCATTCCCATCTCAGGATCTTTGCACCTGCTGTTCTCTCTGCCTGGTGCGCTCCCGGACTTGCTCCCGAACTTTCTCATAGCTGTGTTCCCAACTCAGACGTCCCTCCTCCTGGCGCCTTCTCTGGCCCTTCTGGTGAAGGTAGTGACCCTCCCCTACTGTGATCCTCTCTGCCATCACCATTTCTTATTCTGTTCACGGCACTTTTCACACTTGAAAATACTTTGGAGTGTGATCCTGCTCAGTCACTTGTTATCTGCCCCTCCCCCACACTGGAACATAAAGCCCCAGGACCCACCCACCTTCTTTCCTGCTCCATGCCACCACCTGCCTCCAAGCCTGACACCTCAGAGGCCACATGAATTTGGGAATGGATGGAGGGCCCAGGGACTTCGCTGTCGCCAGGAGAAGAGGTGCCTCTTATTTAAGGCATCAGCAAAACTTCAGAGGGCGGGTTGCTTCGGGGAGAGTCCTGTGGGAAGCTGCAGGATTCCCATAGGAGGAAGCAGAGGGTGGGGAAGGGATCGACAGGTGAGGGCCTCAGGCAAGCAGGGCTCAGAAGACAGGAAGCAATGGGCTGGATTTGGGAAACACCCAGCGGCCATTTCCGGGCTGGCATCTTGTGTGACAGGGCTAGTTCTGTCGGGAGGCCTGGGCCCCAAATCTGGCTCTGCTGCTTCTGGGCTTTGTGACCTCGGACAAAGCACTTGACCTCTCTGAGCCTCGCTGTCATCATCCATAAAAGGAAGAAAAGTCAGCGCACTTCTTGAGCTGAGAGGCCGTGAGAAGCGACATGTCGGGAAGGGCCCTCCCCCACCCCATTTCACACCCACCACTCCCCACCTGGCCCTGGTTCTCCATGCCCCTGGGAGGTCCTTGCTGAGGCAGTCCTCAGGGCTACCTTTCTACAGCCAGGTCTTCTGAGACCTTTCTTTGAAATCAAGGGTCCCAGGGGGTGTCTGCCCTGTTGTTTTTCTCTCCGGGAGACAAGAGAGGACAAGGAGTTTGCCCCCCTCTGCCACGAACGAGATGTCCTGAGGCGCTGCGTCCCCAGCCTGCCAGAGTGTGGGGCCCAGGACCATCTCTGTCACATCTAGAAAGGATGGAGTTAGGGTTGCAAGCCCGGCTGGGTGTTTGCTAGGAGATGTGCCTCTCTGGGTGTCCGTCCGGGTGTCCATCTGTCGGTGGAGTGAAGGGGAGGCACTAACGATTCCCTGTGAAAACACACGGCTTCACGGTGCCGGAAGTATGTGGGGCCCCTTGGGGGCGTGTCCCACCCTCCCCAGACTTTGTGTGAGGCACGGATGTCCCACCCCCACCGTGCAATCTCTTAGTTTTCATCCTGCGCTCCCACGGTCATGTGAAATGTCAGCCCCCGGCATGTACGGAACTCACGCTATTGTTGACGGCATTATTTCCAAATAAAAAAGTGAAAAAACGAAAAACTCATGCTCTCACCAGAGTACGTGGAGCTGATCCCTGCCGGGTGGAGGGACACGTGCCTGGGCTCCTTGCCTTTCTGGGGTTTGACCTGGGAGATGCACACCACCCTCTTCCTGTCCCCAGGCTGTCGTCAAGGACAGGAAAGGCAAGGGGCCTGGGTGTGGGTGCCTAGGTATCGACTGGAGTGAGAGGGGGTAGGGGGAGGGTCCTCCAGCTGGTCTCAAACCGCCCTGGGGCTGCAGGGGATCCTCACTGACATCGAGTGGCAGGGATGGAACGGGAACCCCAAGTACTCTAACAATCTCTCCCGTGGGCCGGGTCTGTGTGTCGCTTCCCCAGCCACAAGCTTCCTTGACGCTACAGCACCTCGGTGAAGCAGGTTGATCTTGTCATTGGCACTGTGATTAATATCGTCCATGTTTATAGAATTTCAGAATTTGTATGTATGGAACGCTCAACATGCAAAGCGTTCTATATATATTATGTCGTTGAATTGTCACAACTACTCCATGGTGGAGCTATTTCTGTCTGCATTTTACAGATGGGGAAACTGAGGCCCGAGAAGTAACGAGCTTGGCCAAGATCACACAGCACATGTGATTCAAGCCACTGCTTTTAGGCTCCCTTCTGTGCCCCGGAGCTTTCCGACCTACTCTGACCTAGGTGTTGAGTGACACACGAGCCAGCTCAAATATCGCCACCCCCATGACTCTGTCATATTAGCCCTTTTTTATTTACTTCATGGTACTTAGCACTCTCTGAAATGATCTTATTTATGTACTTACTTATTTTTGTCAGTCTCCCCCTGCTAGAATGTAAACTCCAGGGGGGCAGGGAGCCCAGTCTCCTTGCACACAGTGTGTCCACTGGCGCACAGCAGGTGCTAATAAACAAATGCCAAATGGATGGACTGATGGATAGATGGACAGATAGATAGAAGAATGGACAGATGGATGGATGGATGGATGGATGGATGGATGGATGGATGGGTGGATGGAAGGAAGAATGGATGGATGGATCACGAGTCCTCCTTAGGGTTCAACAAATTCTGACTTGCCTCATATAAAGTTTTCACAACAGCCCTGGGAGGTGAATGGGGTGATTCCCATTTTATAGATGGGGAAAAAGAAGCCCTGAGAAGGGAAGTGTCAAGGTCATGTAGCAACCAAGAGGCAGAGGCCAGATTCGGCCGGTGATCTCGGGAGTGCCCTCTGCATGGATGCAGAAGGCCATTCCTGATTGGGCTCACGTCCCATAGTGGGTTGAAACAGGGACTCCCTCAACTTGCCATTTACTCTGGAAAGCTGGATAGAGCCCACATATCCTGTCCTTGGCCACTAAGTTTGCTCTGTGCTAGGATAAAGGAGACATGTGTCCATCCGCCAATGCCAGCTCGTGGTGCGATTGTTAAAAGGGGAGCTGGTCCTTACAGTTTCCTGACCCACATTCACCTCCCTAATCCTCACCCTAGAAATCAAGGGTCCTTGGAGGGGCACCTGGGTGGCTCAGTCAGTTGAGCGTCCGACTTCGGCTCAGGTCATGATCTCACTGTTTGTGAATTCGAGCCCCACATCGGGCTCTGTGCTGACACCTCAGAGCCTGGAGCCTCCTTCGGATTCTGTGTCTCCCTATCTCTCTTTGCCCCTCCCTGCTCACACTCTGTCTTTCAAATATAAAAAATAAGACATAAAAAAGTTAAAAAGAAATCACGGTCCTTGTCAGCGAAGGGCCAGTTTATCACCTTCACCCTGGGTGGCATTTGGTGCGGTCAGCATGAGGGGGACCAGGCAATGCCAACCAAGGGTCTCCCCAGTGGCAGAGTCAGGCCTTGTGGACTGGGACATATCTTGGACCTGTGGCATTTTAAAAGCTTCGGAAAACAGGCCCCTGTGCCCGCCCTGGGGTCCACTCCGAAGCAGCCAGGATGTC